ACCCTTATTAGCCATGTGAGATCTGCTGCCTTTGCACTGCACTTAACCACTATGCTACGGGGGCAGCCCAGAATCCTTCATTTTTTAAGACTTCAGTTTATCAATAAACAACAATTGACATTTTTATAAAAAAGGTAAATCCTTTACAAGGAATTCAAAAATAAAGCTGTGTTAAGTGTGATCTATTTTTTTTTTTTTAATTCATTGTGGTTTCTTTTTTTTGAAGTTGAACAGAGCGAGAGAAGAAAAGTGAAAAAGCAAGCTGCCAGGTCTGGGACTCAAACCACAGTCAGCCATGTGGAAGTCCAGCCACCTTAACCACCATGCCATCTGCCGGCCCCATTGTGATCTTAAAAATAAAAAGTAGAGGGGCCAGCAGGTGATGTGGTGGTTAAGGACACTGGACTCCCACTGGCCAACCACAGTTCAAGTCCTAGACCTGGTGGCTTACTGTCTCACTTTCCCTCTCTCTCTCTTTCTCTCTCGCTCTGGTTCTCACTCTGAACCTCTCCAGTAAGAAGAAAGAAAGGAAAAAAAGAGAGGGAGAGATGGAGGGAGAAAAGGAGGGAGAGTGGAAGGAAGGAAGGAAGGAAGGAAGGAAGGAAAGAAAGAAAGAAGGAAGGAAGGAAGAAATAAAGTTAGTTGAGGGACCAGCAGTTGGCGTAATGACTGTGTTGCTGGACTCCCACGTAGTCGACCGCAGTTCGAGTCCCAGACCTGGTGGCTTAAACTCCCGCTGGGCACGTGTGCATGCGTGCCCAAGATCCCAAAAGAAGAATGGAGAAGGGACTGCAGCATGGCCATCCCCCCTGGGGGGTGATTTCTCACTTTCTGTCTCTCTGTCTCTGTCTTTCTGGCAACCACATATGCCCTATAGCAAAAACCTCTCCAAAAAATAAAAAATAAATAAATGAATGAAGAAATAAAATTAAATAAATAATTCTATAGAAAATAATAATAATAATAATAAATGGGGCCACTAGATGGTGTGGTGGTTAAGGCAGTGATCCCACATGACCAACTGGTTTGAATCCTGGACCTGGTGGCTTAAACTCATGTCAGATGCATGTGCATGCATGCCCAAGATCCCAAGAGGAGAATGGAGGAGAAGGGATTGCTGCGTGGCCATCCCCCCAGGGGGGTGATTTCTTGCTTTCTGTCTCTCTGTCTCTCTCTGCCTTTCTGGTAAGCGCACGTGCCCTATAGCAAAAACCTTTCCAAAATAATAACAAAAAATGATCACTGCAGCATCACCTGACCCCATTTACTTATTATTTATTATTTATTTATTTTTTTTTTTTTAAGGTTTTTGCCATAGGGCATAGGGAATGTGTGCTCACTGGAGAGACAGAGGGACAGTGAGAAGGAAGATGAGAAGGTACTCCCTAGAGGGTATGGTCACGTTGCAATTCCATCTCTTCCATTCTTCTTCTGGGATTTTGGGCATGAACACATGTGTATCCAACCTGATTTTCAAGATACTGGGTCCGAGACTCGAATCCCACTACGTGGGAGTCGAGCGACATAGCCATTACACCAAATGCCGTTCCCCTGCAGTGATAATATAACTGAGCTTACCAGGAGTGTGGATATGTGCCTATGATTTGGGCCAGCTAAGAGTAAAGGTAAAATGCAGTATGAAGACACTATAGAGAGTGCCTGTCTCTCTGCCTCTCTTTCTTTTGCTCTTTGTCTTTGTCTCTTTCTCTCTCTCATGAAAGAAATAAATAAACAAAACTTAAAAAAAAAGAAAAGCAAATAAGGGGTCAATAGGTAGCATGGTGGTTAAGGTGTTGGATTCCCACATGGTTGACTAGAGTTCGTGTCCTGGACCTCCATGGAGGCTTGCTTTCACACTCTCTCTCTTTGTCTATCTCTGGGGAGCATGTGTGCCGTACAGCAAATTAAAAAATAGTAAGTAAAATTAAATAGGGACCAGCAGGTGGCATGGTGGTTAAAGGCACTGGATTCTCACATGGCCGACCATGGTTCAAGTCCTGGACCTGGTGGCTTGCTCTCTCACTTCCCCTCTTCTCTCTCTCTGTCTGATCAAACTGAAAAATAATAATAATAGTAATAAAAATAATGTTAAATAAAATAATTTTTTTAAAAAATAAATAATTCTTTTTTAAAAGAAAATGAAAACTATATGTGGGTGTTTTTATGTGTATTCATATTATGTATGTGTGCATATATATAAGTATGAATGTATGAGGGAGTCTTCAAAAAGTTCAAGGAAAATACATATTTTTTTAAAAATCATAAAGGAATTTCTCATTTATTTTGCACAAATATAAACTCATACTTTACAATTCCATTTTTCCATTAACTTTTTTTTTTTTTTTGGAGAGGTTTTTGCTATAGGGCGCGTGCGCTCGCCAGACAGACAGAGAGAGACAGAGAGATAGAAAGCAGGAAATCACCCCCCAGGGGGGATGGCCACGCCGCAATCCCTTCTCCTCCATTCTCCTCTCGGGATCTTGGGCACGCACGCACATGCGCCCGGCGTGATTTTAAGCCACCGGGTCCGGGACTCGAACCGCGGTCGACTACGTGGGAGTCCAGCGACATAGCCATTACGCTAACTGCTGGTCCCCTTCCATTAACTTTTGAAAGTCCCCTTCTATACATAGAAGATGTGTGCATTTAATACATACACACACACATATATACACCAAAAAAACTGGTCCAGAGGTATACATACAAAATTGCAAAAGGTGGTCATTATTGGAGATACATATACATACACACACACACACACACACACACACACACATGCGTGCATGCACACACATACACATATATATGTGGGAGGGGACAGAGGTAAATTCCGATATTATTTGAATTTTGATCAGCACATTTTTTTCCTAAAGAATTTTTTGAGGCCAGCAGGTGGCATGGTGGTTGAGTTGCTGGACACTCCCATATGGCTAACCACAGTTCACGTCCCGGACTTGGTGGCTTACTTTCTCATTCTCTCTCTCTCTCTTCTCACGTTGTTTCTCTCTCTCTCTCTCTCTCTCTCTCTCTCTCTCTCTCTCTCTCTCTCTGGTCAAATTAAAAATAAAAGAATGAATACATAAAATTAAATAAATAATTCTTTAAAATTTTTTTTTAATTTTAATTTTATTTATTTATTTAATTTGCTATAAGGCACATGAGCTCACCAGAGAGAGACACACACACACACACAGAGAATATGAGAACACAAGCCACCAGGTCTAGGACTCGAACCATGTGGGAGTCCAGTGCCTTAATACCACCTTCTGGCTCTAAGCACATATTTTTATAATTAAAATATCTTTTTTTTTTTAAGAGAGAGACTTTTGCCATAGAGTGCATGTGCTTGCTGGAGAGACAGAGACAGAGAGACAGAAAGCAAGAAGTCCTCCTCCGGGACAGATAGCCAAGCCAAAATCCTTTCTCCTTCATTCTCCTCTCAGGATTTTGGGCATGCACATGTGCCCATCATGGTTTTATTTTTTATTATTTTATTTAATTTTATCTATTGCTATTATTAAGTTTTAATTTCACCAGAGAGAGATGGACAGAGAGAGAGAGAGAAAGTGAGAAAGCAAGCCACCAGGTCCAGGACTTGAACTGTGGTCAGCCATGTGGGAGTCCAGTACTGAAACCGCCACACCATCTGCTGGCCCCCCAGCATGAGTTTTTTGGGGTTTTTTTGTTTGTTTGTTTTGTTTTTTTAAAGAATTATTTATTTAATTTCATTTATCATCTTCACACCAAGACAAAAAGAAAAACATATTACACACATATTATCAAAGTTTAGATTTTAGTAGGTATGGGACTACTTGTCAAATGCAAAATGTAAACATTCAAAGAGAAAGCAAAAGATGGATGATCTCACAATACTACAATAATACTAAAATATTTCCGTTAAAATATTTATTGTCACCCACTCCTTAACTATATTAATCCTCCACAATTATAGAGCACAGAGTATATGGCAGTACTTTGGAAGGAGAGGGAAACATTTTATTTTATTATTATTTCTTTTTTTTTGGAGAGGTTTTTGCTATAGGGCGCATGTGCTCGCCAGACAGACAGAGAGAGACAGACAGAAAGCGAGAAATCACCCCCCCAGGGGGCATGGCCACGCCGCAATCCCTTCTCCTCCATTCTCCTCTCAGGATCTTGGGCATGCACGCACACACGCCCAGCCAGCATGAGTTTTAAGCCACTGGGTCTGAGACTCAAACTGTGGTTGATCACGTGGGAGTCCAGTGACATAACCATTACACCATCTGCTGGTTCCCTATAATTAAAATATCTTATGAATTAATAAATAACTTGAGGGGAGAGTTTAGAACAGTGCTCAAGATCCATAGCATCCTGTTAGGTAAAGCTTGTCTTAAAATGCAAATATTGGTCCAAACATTGCAGTACACATTGCTAAGACACTGTGCTCCACAGGCTGGGATCACATGAGAGGCCTGGGTTCAATTTTCAGTCCAACCTAAAGGCCAAGTGCAATGAACTGCATCTGTAATCCCAGCAACTAGTAGAGTACCATGAGCTCGAGTGTGGCCTGGGCCAACAAAAGAGCTAGGAATAGGGGTGAGCACCTGTAGTCCCATTTGGGAAGCTGGGGTAGGACTGCAACAGTGTGACCCTGTCTTTAAAACATACACACATACGGGAACCAGCAGTTAGCGTAATGGCTATGTCGCTGGACTCCCACGTAGTCGACCGCGGTTCGTGTCCCGGACCCGGTGGCTTAAAACTCACACAGGGCGCGTGTGCGTACGTGCCCAAGATCCCGAGAGGAGAATGGAGGAGAAGGGATTGCGGCATGACCATCCCCCCTGGGGGGTGATTTCTCGCTTTCTGTCTCTCTGTCTCTCTCTGTCTGGTGAGCACACGCACCCTGTAGTGAAAAAAAAAAAAAAAAAACCCTCTCTAAAACACACACACATACACTCCTGCAGTGAATCTAACCATCAGCAAGACAATACAAGAAAAGTTAAGGCATTACTTACCTTGAACACTTCAGAGAAGAAGCCAGACCCTATTTTTTCACAGGTGAAGTCATCCAAACGTGTCAGTCTGGAAAAGGCACTTATAAGAGCTCGATATGAAGATGGCCAAATTCTTCCCGCCTGGGTCATGTTCCCATCCCCTCCACCACCTCCTTCAAACTCTTCAAGTCGCTCCACACGTGGAGGAAATCCCGCAATTGAATTCCGTTTGCTCCGATCCATAGTCTCAAGAATCACGTTTTTCTTCTTTTAAGATGGAACTCCACACATAATAAGTTTTTGTTGAATTTTACTTCTCTTCTGGTTTGACACTAAACAAGAGAGTTTAAAAAATTCATTAAGATGATTAATGGATAAAAACATACAATGAATTCTCATTGCAAAATATTTCCTTTACATGCTAGCTCCTGATTTTTCAGATCTGAAACTTTGTGCCTTTAACTACAAAAACCACTGATACCTTTTATTTTTTTAATTATTTAATTTTGTTTGTTATTTATTTACTTATTTATTTTAATTTTACCAGAGAGAAAGTGAGAAAGCAAGCCACCAGGTCTGAGACTTGAACCATAGTCAGCCATGTGCAAGTCCAGCACTTTAACCACCATGCCACCTGCCAGCCTCACCCCTGAGCATCTGCTTTCTAGGAAACAGTACAAGAGCTGTACATATCATTTGATTTTCAGATAATCCACAATAGAAGGATTTAATTATATTCATTTCACAAAGAGATCAAGTAACCATGCAGTCACTAACGGCAGAGATAAAATTAAAACACTGACTCAAAAGCCCGTGTTCCTACCAATGCCCTTTATAGCCTCAGGCTTTATAGCCTGAAAAAATATTAAGTCAGGGCTGGCAGGTGGCATGGTGGTTAGAGGCACTGGATTCCCACATGGATGACAGCAGTTCAAGTCTTAGACCTGGGGGCTTGTTTTCTTGCTTTCCCTTTCTCTCCCTGTCCCTCTCTGGTCAAACTAAAAAATAACAACAACAAATGGAATTAAATAAATATTTTTTAAAAAGAAAAAATATCAAGTCTAAACATATAAAACAAAGGTGACATGTAGACTTTAAAATTACATATCATAGGGTCAAGCCTATGGTCTAACGTTTAACAGAGCTGGATCCGACATGACTGACCATGTGGTTCAAACTCCAGACCTAGCAGCTGTGAAAATATGATGAGTATGTGTGTTGTGTGCCCCAAAGCCCAAAAACATGGAGAAAGAGAAAGGATGTGGTGTGACCATGCCCCATTGGAGGTAGGGGCTGTCTTACTTTCCCTCTCTCTGTCTCACTTATATATTATTTTAAAAGAAAACTTCATCCAACAGCAATGTAAAAATTCACCATTGAGGGGTCAGCAAGTGGTGTGGTAGTTGGGGCGCTTGATTCCCACATGGCCGACTGCGGTTCGAGTCCTGGACCTGGTGGCTTGCTTTCTCACTTTCTCTCTCTCTCACTCTGTCTCTCTCTGGTCAAATTATAAATAAATAAAGTCAAATAAATTATTAAAAAAAAATTCACCATTGAATAAACAGCACATTCCAGAAATGAGTATAGAAAGCTCCAATCCATATGGTACATAACCAAGAATAAAACGCAAGCCCACTTTTTCTTTTAGCCTGTCTCTCCCTAGTTCTGCTTTTTAATTGTAAGGATCTTATGTAAAACACAACACTGTGAGGGAGATGCTTTCATAAATGTGGTGAATACCTACCCAGACTACTTCCACACCTCCAACAATGGAGAACAGTGGCAGGCCTGCCAGAGCCAGCCTTATGACAGGACCTTGGCTTCCTCGCCATAACTAGAAGTCAGCACTATCCAAGATGGATCAAACACAGTTCTTTTTCTGGCAATTTGGAATTGGTATTAAGCTAGTCTAGCCTGGGGTTGGCTGGTGGCATAGTGGTTAAAGATGCTGGACTCCCACATGGCCAGCCACGGTTTGAGGGTTTTTATTTTTTTAGAAATTTTGTTTATTCATTCATTTATTTTAATTTGATGAGAGAGAGAGAAAGTGAGAAAACAAGCCACCAGGTCCAGGACTTGAACCGTGATAGGCCATGTGGGAGTGTCTGGCACCTTAACCACCACGCCACCTGCTGGTCCTGCAGGTTTTTTTGTTGTTTTGTATTTTGTTTTTGTTTTTGTTTTTTTAACACTAGGAATTTTTCAAGCACTTTCTCATTTAACCCTTAAATCATAGCACCAAGGTAAGTATGACCTCTATTTTACAGAACAAGAAAACTAGACTCAAGAAGTTAAATAGCCTGCCTAAGGATACACAGCTGATAGAACCAGAATTAAAACTAAGCTCTATCCAGCACCAAAGCTCAAACTTTTTTCATTTCATCATTATTTAGTTCAGTGTTTTTCTGCTAGGAGAACTGTGAGGAGTAAGCTAGTTGGGAAGAAAAGAGGACAGAGACTTAAGTACAGAGGAAGATTAGGCTGATTATAATTTTTAGAGATTAAAAAAAAGAAGAAACAACTTTAGAAAAATAAAAGACATTAAAACTGAACATATGAAACATTCTTGCCTGCTAAATTAACTAAACAACTTAATAGGTCTACCATCTACAGACTTTTGCATTTTTTGAGCTATACGTATACATATATATATTTTTAAAAAAAAAGAAAGAAAGAAAAAAACCTCCCAGCAAGCACTCACCACAGTGAGAGAGAGAGAAGAGGGAGAGTGGCGTCATGCTGCCATCTCCTTTCCCCCACTTCACCATCCTATCAGGATTTGGGGCACTAGAACTCACAGCACACCACTGATGCCAGGATTGGAACTGCAGCCATATGGGATCCAACTCCCAATGCACAGTGCTTAATTACTGTACTCAGGGACCATCTGGAGATATATGGGTCCCCTGAGGAGTGGCCGATCTAGTTCTGCATACTAAAGCATGGAAGACAGAATTGCTCTCCGTAGCTCAAAAGATCTGGTTTTACATGCTCACCTAGGTAGGAGGAGGTAAGGAATTGCTCATTACAACTGAGCTCATTTGGGAGGAGTCCTGTTACAAGTTTTACAACAGCACAACAAACTGACAATTTGGATATTTTTATTTTGAAAAAATAAATAACATTGTATCCTGGCTCAAAGCATTTTTCAAGAGAGAAAAAGTATTTTTAACAAGTTAAAAGAAACTCTCGCACATTAAGTACAGCAGACCTGACTATCAATGATTCACTTCATTTTATTATCGTCTATAATAAGGGAGGAAACAACTAAAGTTCATCAGTTGCTCAAGTAAGGATAATTCATTTTAAGCTTGTAAATACTTGACATTTTAAAAATGAAAACTGTTCATTCTTAATCTGCTTTACTAAAAACATTTCAGCTAGGGTTCCAGTGATTCTCAACTAGGGACATGTGAAAATTTAGGTAGAGGATGGGGTGTCTTGTCAGGGAGGAGCTATTGTCACAATGGTGGAGGCGTGGGATGGGCACTACTGGCATTTTAGTGGGCAGGTGCCAGGGAAGCTAAATGTCTTACAATGCACAAAACAGCCCTGCACAACAAAGAATTGTCCTGCCCTAAAGGCCAAGAGTGCCCTGCTTGAGAAACACAGTGCTAGAAAAGCTTAATCACTTTTGTTCTTAGAATAGAAAATAGCCGTCTTCTCAAAAATGCCAAAATTATGAAGTTTATAAGGGCACAAATATTTTTCTTTATTTTTCTCTTTTTAATTTGCTACAAGGCATGCATGCTTACAGAAGTGAGACAGAGAGAAAGAGAGAGGAAATGAGAAAGCAGCCGCTGGGAGGATGATCACACTGCAATCCCTATTCCTCCATTCTCTTCTCGGGATTTTAGGTATATAAGTCCACGGACCCGGAGTGATTTTCAAGTTGCCAGGTTTGACACTCAAACCTCACAGCTGGTCATGTGGGATCCAGCTGTCCCAACGGCAACACCACTGGCTAGCCCAACCCAAATAATTTTCCTAGTAACTGTTCTCAAATTCAATACTGAAATACTTAAAAGTTCAAAACATCTTCTTAAGAATTATTTATTTTTTATTTGTTATTATTATTTGCTACAGGGCATGTGCATTCATCAGAGACAGACAGAGAGAGAGAGAGAAAGTGAGAAAGCAAGTCGCCAGATCTGGGTCCCAAACCAGGGTCGGCCATGTAGGAGTACAGGGCCTCAACCACCATGCCACTTGCTAGCCCCAAAAGTTTTCTTTCATTTCTACATAGGTAGGTTTGTGTTTAAAAGGTTAATTTTTATTTATATGGGGATTGATTTGTTTTTTCATAAACAAAGTATAATGAAAAGATTTTTGATTGCAGAAAGTATTTGAAAGATTACCAATAAAAACAAAGTTGGTGAACTAAATATTCTATATCTAATAGCATGTATCATCTTTCCAAAGTATAAATTCTACAAATCATTTTCCAAGGAATCAAGGAAATGGTTAGGACTCCCAGCTAGACCATACTCCTGTCTGAAATGCTTCTGGAAATGATAATAACTTCAGCCACCATTTATTGCAGACCGTACATTCTACCAAGTATTTTGTAAATGCATCATCTCCCGTTTAAAGAGGAAGAAATTAAGAGCCTGGGAGATTACGACTTGCCCAAACACAAATAACTAGAGACAGATTGAAGATTCCAATCTAACAGTTCCAAATCTAAACACTTCCTCCTATGACTTGTCTCCTCCAGAAACATAGTTACATTTCTAAGAAAAAATGATTTAGAGGGACCAGTAGATGGACTAATGGTTATGTTGCTAGACTCCTGGTAGTCAACTGCGGTTTGAGCCCCAAACCAGGTGGCTTAAAACTCATGCTGGGGACACGTGCATGTGTGCCCAAGATCCTGGGAAGAGAATAGATGACAAGGGATTGCGGTGTGGCCACACACCCTACGGGGCGATTTTTTGTTTCTGTCTCTCCAGCGAGCACACACCCCCTATAGCAAAAAAACTCTCCTAAAAAAAAAAAAAAAAAGATTTATTGATTGCCTATAAAAAGTTACTACTATTTCCTACCCTCCTCAACAGAGAGACTAAAACATGTACAGATGATAGCTCCACTAGCCTCTAAACCAAAAGCCTTCAATTATTCAATCACATTCTACAGGAATTAAAAAATAGCACTGATAGCGACCAGCAGTTAGCATAATGGCTATGTCGCTGGACTCCCATGTAGTCGACCGCGGTTCGCGTCCCGGACCCGGTGGCTTAAAACTCACACCGGGCGCGTGTGTGTGCATGCCCAAGATCCCAAGAGGAGAATGGAGGAGAAGGGATTGCAGCGTGGCCATCCCCCCTGGGGG